AATGAAACCATATCCAAACACACACACATACACACATGCACATACACACACGCACACACAAATCCATAACCATTACTTGTCCTACAAAAAGTTGATGCCATTGTACACTCCTATTTATGGTATATTACAGTGAGCAATGTTCCTTTTATCCAGAATTTAATGGGAACAGTTTGAAGCTATTCATTATAGTGGACTGCTATTGCTATGTGCCTCTGGCCAGAGCTGCTCTTATCTCCTGTGAATCAAGGGACTAACTGCATTGGTGGGACTCAAAGGAGAAACACAAATTAAAATATTAAAGTTCAGTCTCTATTAAATGCATATCCCTTTTGCACCATTGTGAATTTGAAAAATTGTAAGTTGTTCTATCACCAATTGGAAGCCATCCTTACATAAAGAAAATGCTTAATGGTTCTGATGCCACATACATACGCTCAAGTATTGTGTAATGGTAGAATGAACACAGGAATGAAATTAGGAAACCTGGTTTCTAGGACTTTGTGAACCGTTGCACAGTTGACTTCAAATCCCTCGGTATCCATTATCTCATCTATGAAGTGTAGGTCAAAATAATTGCTGAGGTGTGGATGTTGTATGGATTAAATGAGGAGAAACAAAAGTGGTTTGTAATTTAAGAAATAGGGTACAAATGCCTACTGATTATTAAAGTAGTACTGTACCCTTAAATGAAGAAGCTCCCAAGCAAGGGAGGAGGGGGTGGTGGCAATGCAGTGGAAAAATTACACAGATGAAATCTTTAAGCTATTTGAGCTTTAAATCCCTTCCTTGAAAGTTCCCAAGTGTCCTACATTCTTAGACACCAAATTTCATTGGCAATAAAGACTACTTTCTGATATTAAGGATAATATAGATTGTCACCTTTCTGTAGGAAGACCGAGTCTTGTGTTGAGTTTGAGTCCTAAGTCCAGGCCTCTTTGGATGACATCATTATGCTTCAGTTTGGGAACTACGTTATAAGATTTTAGTCCCTTGCTAGTTTCTATAATCACCAGGGAGAGAAAAAATATGCTCATGAAAAATTTAAATAATCATGTGCAGTGACTCTGGGTTAAAGCTGAGGTATATAGGAGGATCAGAGTGAGATCAAATATCTTTTAATTACGATTTAAATCAACAGCCTGGAAGATCAAAGCTAAATCATTAGCCAGAAAAATACAGTTACATCTTCCTATTTCTTAAAAAATAGTTCTTGTTTAAAATGACTCAAATAGATTCATTTCACAAATCGGAGACATTAGCACTAAGTGAATGACATCTATTTCAATGAGCAATATTCCTGAGGTTACTTTTACAATATAAAAAAGTTAAATGGGATGTGGTTACTTTTTTAACCAACAATTAATTAAAAGGGTATCTGTAAAATCATTTGTAGCAGAACTATCCTGATTTCACCTATTATTCAAGCATATGCGAAGAAAAATATTGGAAAATTTTGCATGCAAAGGCAATTACCACAAACAAAAAGGTATTTTAAATGCTTGAATTTTAAAGATACAAAATAGTAATAAAACAACAGCATTAGAAACAATACAAAATTTCACTAAACAAAGTAATAGGAATTCAACAATGATGTTGTATTGCATGATATTATCTTCAAATTAACTGTTTACATTACCAGGTACAAACATGCATAATTGCTTTAAAAAACAGAACAACACCAAAAAGTTACAATTTTTTTAAAAAATAGAAAGAAAAATAAAAGATTACTTCTTTCAAAAGAACAGCTTGAATTTTAAAAACCTAAATTTATTTTATTTTCAATAAAGTAATTTTGTCATTTATTGGAAAAGTACATATCTATAATTATTTATTAGTTGTATTGCTTTGGTAATAACCTGTTTGTAATAAACATTTAGTGTAGGAATAAGGTAAGCACAGATTGATAAAACATTAAGTTGTGAATTTCCATAAAAACCTAAATTAAAAAAAAAAACTAAATTTTTGTCCTGGGGCTTGAACTCAGGACCTTGAATTGGCCAGGCAAGCACTTAATCTGCTGAGCCAACGCCCCACCCCTAAAACCTAAATTTTGTATGGTCCGTTTTTTTTAAATCAAGTGCGCATGTAATGAAGTCCATAACACCTTGTTTAATTTACTTTTGATGTTGAAACTCATTTTTGTTAGTATTATGCACAAACAACTGCTAGGTATTTTGCAGTATTGAAAAAATTTGAATAAACAAGCACTAGGAAAGATCATGGCCCATTGTAACCATTCAAGTATTGGAGGATGTATTTATCTTTACGAAAAACAAACAAACAAACAAAAAAACAAGTTTGAAAGTAGGGGGTTTTTTTGGCGGCTTTCATTGCGGGTATGGTGTGGCTTGTGGAGCTGTAGAGCTGTGGAGCTGGGGATCAAACCACAGTCCCTCAAGCCTGACTGTCTTTGCCCAGGCAGGCGCTTAAACAACGGAGCTAACCAGCAAGCCCCCCAAAAGTTGAGAAGGACTTATTATTTTGGCGACAATTTTGAAAGTAGATAAGAAAAATCAACCCTAATTCTACCATTTTGGCCCAACCATTATAATTTTAACGTTTCTTCTGATTGTTTTATCTAGGCATATTTTACACCATAAATTTGAGTGTACTTATTACTTTGTGGCAAACTTTTCAAATACTAGCTTACTGTCTCCTTGCTGGGATTTATCATAATTTACATAACCTAGCCAAATTGTAGGGAGGATGGCTTTTGGAGTACGAAGAGACGATTTTTGGAGTTAGATTTTAGAATGCTTTGGACCCCTAGAAAATGTGATTACTTGCCCTAAAGATAAGAGAAGCCATTGACTATTTCAGGTAAAGGCTGGGCATGTTGATGAAATTATATACACGCACATACACTCAATTTTAAATAGAAGAATTATTCTTTTACGTATAATGCTGTGTTTTGAAGTCTATTTCATGTGCAGAAAGAGGAGAGTCCTTAGCTAGATCGCTAGCCCTTTGAATCCCACCGCCACATGTGCCTGAGTTTTCTGTGTAAACCTGCTTGCGTGACAGGTGGTGTCCCAAATCCAACTTATTTCCCCAATGAAGTGTGCCCCTACAGCTTGTCGAATTTACTCTTCTGAAAATTCTTCTGCAAGCCCATTCTTCTGACGTGGCCAAGGAAAGAAGATAAACGAAAGGTACCCTCCCCTCCCTCCCGTCAGGTGCCTTTCTTGATGGCTCCACCTCCTTCTAGATAACCCTGACAGTAGAAGTTTCCCATCTCCTTTTCCTTTCCCTCTCCTTGTTCCCTCCCCCTCAGCCCCCCGCCCCCCCTTTCCAGAGCGCTTCCTGCCTGGAAACAAAAGATTGGTCCCCAGTAGCCCACTCAGGGCGATTTTAGTTTTATGCTCACCATCTGATTGGCCTAGGTACGGTGCAGAGCGCGGGTGACGTCATAGCAGAGAAGGGCTAGGGAGCGGTTGCTGAGCAGGGGCTCTCTCGCGGGCGGGCAGCTGTGGCGGCGAACCAGCTGGGATCTTGCACTGGGGGCTGCAGCTTTTCCCCTGCGGGAGCCTGTGCGCTGGGGCAGGAGAAGAGCCAGGGGGAGCGGGCTGGGCCCGGGGCTGCGGCTGCGGCCGCGGGGCTGCGGCTCCCCAGCCCCGCCAGCCGGAGCGCTTGGAGGTAGAGGAAAGGTCTTGACGGGGTGGCTGGACCCCAGGCAGGTAAATCCCGCGACTTATGGTACCTCGGATAGCTCGGGGGAGAGGGTGGCGGCCGGGAGCTGCTTTGAGGCTACTGGGCAGATGTTCAGTTTTCCGGGTCCCCCGCCCGTTCCTGTGGAGCCCCAGCTTCGAGTCTCCTACGTGGCTCTCCCTGACCCCTGAAACCCAGCACGCAGTTTGCTGGATCCCGGTTCCCAGGCAAGTGGGTGTGTCCGGCCATCCCGGGAGGGCCTGGACTCCTTTCCTTGGCCAAGCCCGCTACTTGCTTACTGGGGCCTGGGCTGCTTGAGGCAAAATCCACCCTGAAAGCTACGTCAGCCTGTAAATCTTATACTACCTTCCTGCACCCCCTCCCCTCCAGCCACAGCACTGGTAACAGCATACCCTCAGAAAAGGGGAGGGGGTGTGGCCGCGTTTTGGCCAAGTCCAAGGCAGAAGATCCACAGAGCAAACAGAAAAAGTGACCATTTTGTTAAATCAGCGCCCTCTCCCTTAATTTTTTTATTACCCCCTCCCCTATTTCAGTAGGGGGATGGTAACCACCGCTGGTCTCTTTTTTTCTATTCCTGTGGGGATGGAATGATGCAATAAGGTCACTAGAAAGCCCAGAGTCTCTCTGTTGTCCCTGTCTTTGTCTGGGTAGTGGGGTCATTGGGTCTACTGTATCCCTCCTTCTCTGACCCCCTTAGCTCGCCAGAGGCATTGCCTTCAGTTTCTGAACTGGCACTGGCAAGATTACTGCTGCACTTGAGGCTAACTGAACATTTTTGATTCTGGATGTTGCACGTTTTCTTTCCTTAGGTGGTGCTTGAGGGGTGGGGTGAAGATTGGTGGAGTGGTGGTTCCAGCAAGGAAAGAGCCAGAGGCCCCATTTAGTTTGTTTTTTTTTTTGTTTTTTTTGTTTTTGTTTTTGTTTTTGTTTGTTTGTTTTGGTCCCACTTTCCAGAATCCACTTGCATATTCTGGTCTTGAGGATTCTGGGCTGTGCTCTGGAGAAGCAAAGGAGAGATCAGTGAGTGGCTTTGCTTTGGGAAGCATGACAGGGGTGGTTGCAGTGCTGTTTTTTTAAAACATGGTTTTCAGCAGGGAAGCCTTTAGCCATGTTAGTCTTGCTTCCTCCATGGTTTTACAGATTCAAATCCAGGCCAACTGTGTGGCTCTCTGAGGTATTGGAACAGAAGGAGGTCCATTCCTGTTGGTGACAACACTGTGGCCCTGCTCTGGGATGAGCAAGGTGTAAAGGTCAGTGGGGTTTCACAGGCTCATTTGCGAAATTGGAATTGAACAGGACCTGTGATTTGCCACTTGAGGCTCCCAGTCGGGAGCACCTCTGGGCAAAGGGAATTAATAGTTGTAATGGATGATTAATAGGCCTGGGTTTGGGGAGGGAGCCATGTACATCTGTGTTTCTGGCTACAAATGTTTCTGAATACCCCTCCATCTTCATGTGAGATGAGAATGGGAAGATACTGGGCAGGATGCTGGGTTCAAGCTGGCAGTGGAGAACCCTGAGTCCTGAAAGACCTTGAGCTATCAAGGAGTCAATCCTTCAAGTCTCCTGACAGACAAGTGGATCTTGTAAAGGAGTCCAAAGGGAAAATGGAGGTTCACATATAATGTACAAAGGATACAGGAAAGGGGCCACAGTACCCTGTAGACATTCTGACAAGCTGACTCTTCCCACAGATCCAGATTGTTCTGGTCAGATGTGAAGATAGTGTATAGAACCAGCAAGTCTGCTGTAGTCTTGGAGGAGAGTTGGTCATGGATGTGAGAGCTGAAGGAAAAGAGGAATAACTGCAGGGAGGAGAGGTGCTGCCATCAGGGTCTTTGCTACTAGGGTATGAGGTTGAAGGTGATCATGGCAAAAAAAAAAAAATCTCAGCTCTAGATCAGATGGAGTAGGCAAGGTTCCGATGGAGGAGTCAGGGGATCAAATGGGGAAGAAAGGAGCAAAGCCATAAAGGTATACAAGAAGAAAGTCATTGTCTTACCAAGAACCCAAAGGCTCTAATTTCTTTGGTGAGATAGAAAAGTTTTTGTAGTTGAGGCATCTGTGGCTCAGCCAATAATTAGGGAAATTTAGGAGCTCAATCACCTTCCCAGCTATGTAACCCACCTTCCACAGACAGTATATTGACCAAGGAAACCAGAAGAAACTTCATGAGCAGCAGCCTTAAAAACCAGCTTTTTCTTCTTGGGTAAGGATAGATGGCTTGGGGACCAGGGCCCCAAAGGGAATTGGGGATGGTTTGAATCCGGCCCAGACAAGAGACTTATTTTTACATGGATGCCATAAGGCCAGATCTGAGGTCCTTGTTTAAAAAAAAAAATCTTCCCAGGGCCATTGGGCCCCCGTGTGCAGAGAATTGTGGAAAACCTCTCACCTGGAAGATAAGTGCAGCTGTGTAGGCATCTGGAGTAGTCTTAAACTTCAGCTGCACCCCCCTCAACACACACTCACACCTGCCAGGAGCTAGGCGTTCCCTCTGCAGGGCCAGGGTGGACACTGTGGCCAACTCGGCCCTACGCAGATTCTCCAGCAGGGGGCGAGAAAGGGCATGCATGAGGCGCAGGATCCAAGTCCTCCATTTCAAGTGTGAAGCCTAAACCTGGGATTAACAGCTGTGCGTTTGAAAATCTACTTTAGGGGAACTGGAGAAGCAAATGAGCCTCTAGGTTCTGAAGTTGTTTGCATTTCCTTCCAGAAATGCATCTCTTCCTACTGCTCTGCGGAGAAAGAAGGCATTTGCATTTGCATACACGATGATTACTTGAGTCACTAATACCCACAGCCTAACTGGGAGTTTAATTGGAACTGTTAATCAATGCAATAGATCCGTGTCTCATTTGCACATTCAGCTATTTATCTGTAAGTTGGAGCTGTGTGTACTGCACCCTAGGGATGCAGCAGGAAGGCAAAACTGCACCCACAACTGGGTCTAGGGATGGGAAGCAAAATGGGAGAAAGTACACCTTGAAAGTTGAAAATAAATTTGCATTTGGCTGGTGGGGATAGGGAATGAATCATTGCAAAGGTGTGCAAACAGAGAAGCCTGATCTCTGGATGGAAGAGGACATTCCTGGAGCCCATGTGGGTGCTGAGGAGTTAGAGTATTTCCTCTGTGTTGCTTGTTTGTTGGAGGCAGAAGGGGGTTGAATTTTGAGAAAGAAGGTAGGTTGTTTTTTTTTTTTTTTTTGAAGGAGGACCAGATGCTGATATTGAGTGAACCTGGGAAATCAGAAAGCAAGTGTTCTGGTCTGAATATGTCTGACTCTTCTCTGGGCCTCAGATTTTTCCTCTTTCAACTAATGGAGCTGGCCTAGGTGTTCTCTAAGATGCTGGTGACACTTGAGAAATGAGTCCATTTACTCTTGGCAGTGAGGCCGGGTACATTAAAGTCCACCACTCTATGAAGAAAAGTACCTCTTTGATGTCATGCTCCCTTCTGTATGTCCTCCTGTTTGGGGAAAAAAAAAACATACAGAATAACGACACACTCTCTACACACATTTTATCTCTTTCAGCAGTGTGGCTTTACTTTTATGTCATGTGAGTGGAAAACAGCAAGAAAAAGAAGCCCAAACTGAGAACTGGCTAGGTACTCTATAAGCAAGACACTGAAAAGATTTGTAGTGGGTACCTTGTGGACTGAACCTGGGAGGCTAATAGCAGATATTTATGAGTGTTCCTTACTCCCTAACTCAGTCTCAAAACAGGAAGAGCTTGGAATGAAGGATTATATTCTTTTTTCTTGGTGTTTTTCTCCCTCAGCTTCTATGCCCTGTGGAGTTTTTGTGATTTGGCATCCTAAACATCCTGACAACATAATAGCGCCCTCTAGTGACTTTAATGGGGACAGCTTGGTAGAGTTCCCCTTTGCCATCCCCTAACCTAGCCAGTACACTTGTGCAGCTGTTACTCTCTGCAGAAAAGAGCCCCCGTCCTTCTATCCATTACAGAGGAGAAACTGAAGCAGCTGCCACTTTCGGTAAGTCTCTGTACATAGAGAGGGGTTCAGAGAGGGAGCCATCATTCCCCTAACTCATGCCAGTGTTCTTTCCTTGTTTAGATTTTAAAAAGATCCAAAATACCTTTTCCAGAAATCTTAGTGCTGAGCAAGGCATTTGTCATGGGACAGATGTGGGATGCAGTAGTTTTTATAGGTAGTATTCCCCTTTTCCTGCACGCAAACCTTCATGGTGACAACCCTAGTACACAGACAGGGACTCTGGCAAGAAGCCAGCTGTAGTTAATTGTAAAGAAAGAGCTGAGGGGAGAAAGAAGATGCATGCACTGATATATGCACTGATCTGTATGCAGATCTCCAATAAGATGCTGATCTGAAGGTATATAGCACAGCACTGTAGACTCCAACTGTGATACCGGCACATAGTACTCAGAAAACAGTACAGATACACAGATGACATAGATGTATGACACAATCTGAATTAGAGACTTGATACATACACATAGCACAATAGAAGTGCAATACGCATGCAAGAGTGGAGACACATAGTGCATATACAAGAGCATACTGACTTGGTACATATACACAATATAATGTAAAAACAGAATACTGCACATATCCAACACAATACAGTCTCAGTACACAGCGAACATGGTGTAGATATGATGCAGACATACAATATGAAGCAGGGAACAGAACAGATGCACATGACTCACAGGGTGCATGTGCTGATCCACAGGACACCAAACCACACATATGAGCAGCACAATATTTCTCCGAGCAGACAAGAGGAGCTTGACTACCTGGTGGGGAGCTGTGTCTTATCAGTTCATTCTGCACTGGCTCATGTGGCAGAAGAAATGGAAGTAGGCTCAAGAAAAACTTTTGATGTTGCTCTAAAATACGGAGGAATTCGGTTAGTGCAGGCTGGTGTGTGTAAGCCCTTCGGTACTGATCCCCAGTGTGAGTGAATATTGCCGCTGTAGCCAACCCTCAGGCCCAGGAATGGGCAGAAGTTTATTGAGATCATTCCTGTGCCCTCCTCCAGCCCTGTCCCTCTTTGGAGCTTTGCAGCCCGTACTACTCTCCACTTCACCCTCCTGCAAGATGAGCTCATACAGCAAGGGAGGGGTGGACACACCACTCAGTGGTGCAGTGGGTGGGATTTGGAAAGGCTGCTTAGTGTGTGCATGTGGGAAGAGCATAGGGAATGCCAGGGATGCTGTGGGACAGTCGTGCTCTGGAGTCTTGCCCAGAGGAATAGGCAAACCAAGGGTATGGTTTGATCTTTTTATTTGTGAAGGGGAATTGGAGATCATGGAGCTTTTCTTGGCTCCCTCAAGTTTCAGTTTTACTGTTTCCATTTTGACATGCTCATCTATCCATCATTTTGGATTAAGACTGCATTCTGGTGTCTTTTAATAAAATACGTGTTACCCTGGTTCATGCTCTACTGGGAATAAACATAGTTGTAGCTTCTCCCTGAGGATAAATAGCATTGAGGGGAAAAGAGGGGAAAGCAGAATGAGGGTTGCAGAACTTGGGGTATTATAAAAGGAAATCACCCTCCCCCCTGAGAGGCTCAAGTGACTTGTCGGAAGAGGCCCCAAAATGGGGAGATTAAAGAGACCTTGTTTTCAACTGGAGATATGACTCAGTAGTGTACAAAAGGTGATGAGTTCTAACTATCCCCAGTGCGTACACATGCACACGCACACGCACACACACATGCATGTACATACACACATAGGAAGAGCAAGACAGGCAGGCAGGCAGGCAGAGAGACAGACAGAGACCCTTTCTTCTGCATTGTTAGATGTGGAAACCTCTCTGGGGAGATTAGCATAAATGATCACCAAAGCAGCAACAACAAACAGTATTACTGACTCTAAGCTACCTGGGGATAGCTATGGAAGGCAACCTTGGGATGGCATGTGGAGGCAGAAGGAAGTAGAGGGGAACTTCAAACAAGATCAGAGGTTGAAGCCTTAAGCAGCTGTAAGGAGATCACGGACCTCTAGGCTATACCCAGAGAACAGACTTTCTCCCAGTCAAGTGAAAGAAGTTGTTGGAAAAGAGGATGGAAATAGAGGTGGACATCTGGAGTTGAGAGATGAATAGAACTGAATAGCAATTCTAGCTTGTCAAGAAGCTTACACATTCTCAGAGCCAATCAAATCTGGTCATGATCTCTGTTTCTTATTGCACACTATTGTTGCCTCTTGCAGTATGCAAATTTATCCATAGTTATTTGTGCAATATATATATTTCACATGTCTTATTTGATTTGATTTAGAGCTGCCAATACATGCCCAAGTAACTAAAGCAAAATAATTTTTTCCATTTGATAGCAAGTAGGCCTAGAGTAGTGAAATGACAAACAGCAGTTTTCAACTTGTACCTTCTACCTCCTGACAGTGTGCTTTGTGGAATCCTACATAACATTGTTTTTACACCTCTTGCCTGTGATTTTCTAGACTGCTTTGTTCTGAGATCACTGTAGTGTGTGTGTGTGTGTGTGTGTGTGTGTGTGTGTGTGTGTGTGTGTGACATGCCTGGGAGGTTGAACAGGGGAGTAGTAGCACATAAAGAAAGAGGTTCTTTCTCCCCCACAATGCTTCTCTCAGCAGGTTTACCCCAAGAAGGAACAGCTCAGTCCTTGCATCTTGTGGCAGCTGCCCAGCACTGAGTCCATCAGGGCTGAAGTCAGCTCGACCCTTTCCCAATGGGCAGTACTCACCTGTGCCAGGGTCCTGCAGTGGTGGCCTTGTGAGGTGAGTAATGGCTTCTAGGGCAGGGAATTAGGGTTCTTGAAATCCAGATAAATGCGGGATTTGACCTGATCTCCCATTATCAAAGATCCTGCATAAGCATCACCAGCTAGTCTTAGAGCATGACTTCTTACTGGGGAGTTTGGTCTCATATAGCTGCCCTGGATCTCTTGATTCCCCTATGTTTAATATGAAAATGACAGCCTTGACCTACATTTTGGGGTGTAGTGGAGAAACAACATAACAATCATTACCAAGTCCTTTGCAAATGTCAAGCACCATCTAAGAGCTTCAGTGTAGCACAGAAAATGCTTCTCATCAAGCTGTCATATCCTTTTCTCCTTTTCTGATGCCTACATGACATTTCAGCCACATGCTCCACTTTAACCAATCAGCTCCTGGGATTTCTATTGCCCCATAATCTCAATTTTAACCTTCTTATTCAAAATGTACTCCCACCATATCCACCCACCTCTGCTTTAGGACCTGGAAGGCTTAGTTTAAACCATCCCGAACCTTCCCTCTGCCTTCACACCCAGCCAGGTGATATGGGTGCCCTTCCTCTCCCAGCCTTCCAACACCTGAGTAAGTAGTGTGTAGTACAACCACTTGCTTCTGTCTCACATAGTTCTTGCGTGGTTTCTGCAATACTTGCCAGGGAGAGAATTAGACTATAAGTTCTTCAAGGGCAGGGACTACTTAGTACACCTCTCTAGTCTTCCTTCCAAGTGTCTGACAGCAGTTCACAAATTGAGTTTCTCCCTTTCTCTGCACTTTCATTTTTATCATCCTAATCCTCTAGTCATCTCGCTGGCTCTTTGTCTCTCTCTGAGGCAATTACTTTAGCTTCCTCTGTTGGTTTCTGTCCTGGAGTCCAGCTACCTATTTGTAACTTTCTATCCCATTGTCCTCTTTGTGTGCTCCTCTGTCTCTTTGTCAGCTACTTAGACATCTCTCCTGTTGTCCAAGTCAAAAATGACTGACAGAAAACAAAAATGAAAAAATACCTCTCAAGAAAAACAAACAAGGAATATACAATTCCCTTTCACAGAAACTGCAGTGAGCCCTGGCCCTGGGCCTAGAGCACAAGAGAAAGCTAGAGCTAGCAGCAGGTGTTTCTGTGATGCCTGCTCATGAAAGGGAAGCTCCAGAGTTTCAGCCTTAGAATTGGAGGTATGAAATTACAGCCTTGCCGATACTGATGCATTCAACTTTCTAGAGATGTTCTGGTAGGAGATCCTCCATAGGCCCTGACTGACAAAAGGTAACTAGAACTGACTAAAATAAGAAGCAATCCCTGGGATCTCTGCTGGGTGTTCTATGACAGCTATGATAATAACTTTTACTTACCGAGTGTCTTCTGTTGCCAGCGCTGTGCTAGACACTTTAGTTACATATTATTTGCTCCTATAGTAACCCTCCAAGGTAGGTATTTTGTCTGACAGTGTCTTTGCTTCTGATTATACAAATGATGTCAACTGAAGTTAGGTACTTGAGAAAGAGATTGAGGGGATAAATAACTTGCATGTAACTGGAGATATGATGTGGATTTGGGAGCAAAGATACTTCCTAGGTTTTCCTAGCCTCCCAAGTTATTTTGGTACCAGTTAGTGCTGGTGCATGTGTTCCTACGTGCATACACACACAAACACACACACACACACACACACACACACACACACACACACACTCACCAGAGTGCTCATATACTCTGGTAGAGTCACATTTAACCTATACTCACCCTCTTATGATCATATTTACATAGTGTGCTATATATTTTTATACTGTCAGTACTCTCATACTTACTATATGTCCCTATCATTATATTTTCCTCCACTCTTACATTTCAATTCTTTCTTTTTTTTTTTTTTTTTTTTTGCGCAGAACCAGAGATTGAACTCGGGCCCTTGCACTTGCCAGGGAAGCGCTTATTCTACTGAGCCATCTCCCCGGCCCCTTCAATTCTTTCTTACATTCTCTCTCACTCATAGTTATACTCTTTCACACTTACATTCATACAGATGACAAAATTAGCCATATCCACCCATGTCTACACAGTCACACACTACACATGGACACACACAAACATTCCTCTTGCCTACAGTTCAAATTGCTCCTCATATAACTATACACATACTCAGTTTCATATAATTCAACATGCTTGTGTTGATGTTATCACTATTTCCTCTTCACAGTCAGTCACACATGCAACTCATCCCACTTGTGCTCATATATTCATGCTTACATGTACGCATACCATAAATACCATCTCACTTGCACTCTTATACTCAAAATTACATACTCTTGCACTCACACAGATAGCATGGCAACCATCTCCCTTTTCTTATTGCATTCACACAAAATCACACTTGAGCATGAAAACACATTTTATCCACTCATACTGAGATGTAATTGTACTCTATACCAAACTCTCAGGCATACACGCTAAAATACAACCACACACAAAAAGCCATTTTCATCAACAACTATCATTCTCCCTTTTTGCATTCATACACAATCAGTGCGCTCAGCTATTTTTAGCACGATGTACACCAGTACATACATATACGATTTAAATTAATTATTCATACAAAATTACATTAACACAAACCATATTTACTGTACAGCTATTTTCATATACTTACACTCTCACATTTTCAGATATTCACTCTCACATTTACTATGACAAACTCAATACTACCTTCTGGCTCATTCCCATAAACATACAATCACATTCCTTCACACTTACATTTATTCATATGTGCCCACTCATACACGCCAACTCTTACTCATATAATCACATATTTTTATACTAACCTAGTCACAGTACACACCTACATTCTTTTGTTTTGCGTTTTCAGATAGCATCTTCCTGTCATTCAGGCTGGGCTGAATGCAACACAGGCTGGCCTAAGGTTTGTAGCAATCCTCCTGTCTCAGCCTACTAAATGCAAGGATTACTGGTGTATGCCAGCACACTCACATTTTTATACCTTGCTCTCTTACTCCCACCTGGCATGCCCTTACCAACATTGCTGCACACATTCACACCAGTGCACATGTAGTGACATGCATAGTCATTGACCTGCCCTTACACTGTCACACATCACACCGATACTGATTATAGCAGTCAGTTGACATAGATACCTACATGTGGCACACAAGTACCAGTACTCAACACTCACACATTCACCCCAACACATTCTCACATACTCTGATGCTTTTATGTACATGGACCTATATGCCCATGAAGTTACACAAGCTCTTCCAAACTACTATGCACTCTTACTCAGACTCTTATGTGGCCACATTGACACTGACGCATATTTCACATTGACATTATCCTACACGATTTCACTAAAATAATAACATTCTTCTTTGTCCATTCCAGTTAATGGCCACATAATGGCAGTGACCCACGATCTCATGCACACACTCACACATACTTTCTGAAACTGGTACACATTCTCCCACACTGATACTGCTACATGATTTCTTTTCTTTTCTTTTCTTTTTTTTTTTTTTTTTTTGCAGAACCGGGGATTGAACTCAGGCCCTTGCACTTGCCAGGCAAGCACTTATTCTACTGAGCAATCTCTCCGGCCCCTGCTACATGATTTCTTGATGATGCACCTAACTGCATTTAATAGTTCATAATCATGGTTAATATTATTGCCCCCCTATTTGCTGCTAATGCTCATTTTATGCCTCTTAAAAAGTTTTCTGGTAACCAGTGGCCAAAGGTAGTGTTTGCCTCATCTAGGGTGCCAGTGGGAAGTAGATCCTTACAGAGCAAATGAGTTGAATTTAAGTCTAAGATTACAAGGCAAAGGTCAAATGCACAGATCACATTTTCTATCCCCATAATTTCCCTTTACAGAGATCATCTTTAATAGATCCTGACCAACAGAGATATTTTTTTTTCTGGTGGAACCGGGGATTGAACTCAGGCCCTTGCGTTTGCTGGGGAAGCACTTATTCTACTGAGCCATCTCCCCAGCCCCAAGAGGTGGGTTTTAAATAGCATATTCTATTTTCTGGAAGTTGTGGCTTAACTTGCCACCTCATTTCTCCCCTAGGGAGAGGGGAAAATGAAGAATATGTGTGTTTCCTTAGGCATGCTGAAGGTTCCCTAGGCACAGATACTTTTCTCCAGTTTTATGTTTATAATTTGGGATTGCCTGTGGATTACACACATGAAAAAGGTAGGCCTGTTTCCTCCAGACACCTTTAATCTAGCCAGGCCTACTGTTGTGCTTATAGCATGACATTTAAGAAAGCAGAGAAAAAGTTCATGAACTAGCTAGATGATGACATAAATATCAACTATGAGTATACATGTGCATATGTAGACTCTACTAAAATTTCAACAGTTGGTACTAACAAGCTAGTAGAGGAGATTTTTTTTCTGTAGGTGTGGGTAAAAGGAAGCTTAAGTGAGTAACTTGCTCTCCAGACAGACTGCAGACTTAGGAGGGTGAAAAGAAGCACAAATGCTGGAGTGAACCAGTTGGTCGGGAGCCTGGTGCTAGAGCTCTGTATCACCAGAGATTTTGAGAGCACAATGGAGCAACCTCCCTAGGAGATAGAGTAAAAAAATGAGGGCAAAATATGCCCATGCTACCATGTGACATGGATCTTGCACGCATGAAGAAGAGCTTATCCTTTGGAATGTCACACTCCCTGACTGCCATCATTAGACTGAGAACTACTTAGATACCAGAAGCTGCACCATATTACTAATTTTGGATTCCTGCCTAGTAGAGGGAAAGCCCAGAAAACAAAAAAAGGTGGGCAGTCCCTTGCTGTCAATATAGACCAAATGTATCTGTTCCTCAATCCTAGAATTTCATACCAGCTCAGATTAAGAAACTTCTATGTGCCTCACATAGCCTTAGACCTAGAGTGAGCTTCAAGCTAGTGAAAGGCAAATACTTTGTCCTTCAGATATTTCATTTGTGCAAGAAAAATGAAGTCACTCTAAAGTGTAGTACAAGGTTTGA